TACCCCAGTTCCCTAACTGCCCCCCTCAAGGATTGAACTTGCAAGCCTGGGTTTAGCAGGCCAATGCTCAAACCACTGAGCTATCCCTACCCCTAGTAATAGATACTGTCTACATCCTAATGTCTGATATAATGTTTTGCTACAGATGGCAAAAATCTCCTCTGATATAGCTCTTCCTATAAACCTGTTTTCTCCTACTTTGGGATCAGATAAAGAAAGGGAATCGGGAGTGTGAGCGGATACTCCATGATGCTGAAGTACTGAGTAGTTTTGCTCTGACCCAGAAAAATACTTTCCAGTATCCTTCCATCAAACTGCAGCATCTCTGGAGGTAAAGTAGTTCGTCCGAGTGCCACCATTGATTGGATAAAGCTGCAGTGATAATCGGAGCCCTCCGCTGATACAGAAATTTGGATCTGCATCTGTGATAATTAACTTGTATCTGACCTGCGATCCGCACTCCCCCTTTTATATGCATCTGCATCTGCACCCTACCTCACTGGTAGAGCTTTGCGCACATACAAAAATTTGGATCAGCATCCAATCCGCGATCTGCAAAGATGGTAAACAATACAACCGCCTCCGCGGATGCAGCTATCTGCAGATATAAGTGGATAACCGCAGATTTGCAGGACTCTAGCGTTAAGCACATTCAGGTATATAAAAAACAAGCGGACACAGTGTTTTCATTAGATGAGATAGTAACAAACAATATATTAAGTAGCAAACCAAAAAATAGCCTCATTCATTTATAGCTTAGACCAAACCCCAGACAGTCTCTCAACAGACTGATTTAGAAGAATTCATTTTATGGACAAGTATGTCATAGTTGCCTGTATATCACAGGCTATTAGAAATACCCCTCTGGTCCTCAGGAGGCTGAACTATTGTGTGCCACAGGCAGAGACCAGGAGACACTGAGATGCCACCAATGCCCAAGGTTGCTGCAAAGGCAGGGAATTGAAGGAACAAGTATATTTGTTTCTGTGAATTCCCAAACCTGTGCCCAGGGAATCCTCCCAGAAAAAGGCTAGGAATGCCTGGCTTGGGTGACTGCTAAGAGAGTTCAGGGTCTGTGAGCTGGCTGCACTCTCTCTTGTCTCCAAGAGCAGCAGAGCAGGGTCCATCAGAACTCACATTTTTGATGGATGGAGTGAAAGTGGTGACCTGAAGCCAGAAGGCCACAGTTACCATGTGCATGTGAGAACTGCCTGGCTATTGCAGTCCCCATCAGCCGGCAGCAAGATACAAAGGGCTTTGTCCTCTAGAATGAGGATGGCATAGTTCATTCATAGTGATACTAATCCATAGCTCTCTTCTGGTTCTTGCCTCGGTCCCCCGTGCTCAGGCTGCTGCTCCTGAATCAGTTCCACGACGTGTTGCCGGGCAGTTGTATCCAGCTAGTTGTGGAGGATGCCATGAGATACTAGGCAGGTGAGGAGTGATTTGTGCTAAGAGGCTTTTCCTGTCAAGTGGGTTGGGTTCATTGTAACACCCTCTGTCAGGTGGGCTTTGAAAGGTGGTGTTCCTGCTTTCTGATCTGACTCCTTGCCTGGTTTGGTGAATGTTTGGTTGTGGTTTGGTTTTGTTACAAGCCCTACAGGCATCGGGGACTCCACATTAATAGGTGGTGCTCTTGGTGTTGGTAATAACTAATGGGACCCAATCTGTTTTCCTGCCCTGCGCATCCTGCTTCCACTGAGGCTGGTAGGAGGAAGGATGCCCATAGTGCCCTGGGCCGTGGCCCCACTGCACTCAGCCAGTCTGCATTATGCCATTTGTCAATACCCAGAGAAAACAAGCCCCAACTGTATCTGGTTACACAGTCAGAGTCTGGCAAGCAGAGGACCCCCCCCCCTCCCTGCAGGTGGAGACTCCGTGGCCCCAGGAGTCCTGTGACACTGGAAGAGACTGTGCATGTGAAGGGTTGGTTTGAGCAGTGGGGATGGGGAGGATTGTTGGGAGGTTGCTAGGAATGGCTGCAGAGATGCATCAATTCCAAGGCTATTCGGAACCATTGTGATCATCTCACTGACTTGTAGACTTTAAGACCAGAAGGGACCATCATGATCATCTAGTCTGACCTGCACATTTCAGGCCACAGAACCTCACCTACCCCCTCCTGTAGTAGGCCTCTAACCTCTGGCTGAGTTACTGAAGTCCTCAAATCATGATTTAAAGACTTCAGGTTACAGAGAATCCACCATTTACACTAGTTCAGCAAGTGATCTATGCCCCATGCTGCAGAGAAGGCAACTACCCCCCTCCCCCCCCCGGGTTTCTGCCAGTCTTACCTGTAGGGAAAATTCCTTCCTGACCCCAAATGTGGAGATCAGTTAGACCCTGAGCAAGTGGGTGAGACCCATCAGCAAGACACTTGGGAAAGAATTCGCTGACCTCCCGTATGACACAGGCCAGAGAACTTCCCCAGAATAATTCCTAGAACAGATATTTTAGAAAAAAAATCCAGCTTTGATTTAAAAATTGCCAATGATGGAGAATCCACCACGACCCTTGTAGGTTGTTCCAAGGGGTAATTACCCTCACTGTTAAAAAATTGTATGTTTTATGGCCAGTCTGAATTTGCATGGAAGACGGAGGAATGTTAGGATGGTGCAAGGAGGGAATCCAGAGTTTAACTGGAAAAAATGCAGCCCAGAGTTAAACACACCAGTTGAATGGAAGGGAGTTGGGGGAATTAGGGTTAAGAGTAAAGAGAACTTGCTTAGTAAGATTAGGCATGATGGGGCAAATGGACAAGCAATTCTGAGGCCAGTGTGTACTACATCCTTTCTCTCACTCCGTTGTCTTTTTTGTATGTCTCTAAAGGGCCTAGCCAACTTTGGGGTGCTCTATAATTAATAATAGTCTGCTCTGAACTGAAATGCCTTTTCTTTGCCCAGAAATCCGTAGCATGGGTGGTCTCCTCATTAAAGATGCTGTTTGGTCCTTGTTTGGAGAACTTTTGCCGACTGGTCCCGAGACAGCAGAAAGCCTCCTTGTTCTGAACACTTTGCCCTGGGAACGGACTGAAGTCGTCTCCAGGACTGGAGCAAAGACCTTAGGTGCCATTGTCCTGCCTATCTAAAGACTTGCAGATCATCCCCCACAAAGCACAGATGCACCCTAAATCTTCTGGTGTGGGGGACAGGCGCAGAGCAGGGGAGGTGGACCAGGAAAAATAGACCAACAAAGTGATGGCTGTCTAATTCCAGTCACATGGAGGATACAGAGCCATTGCTTCTCGCACAGCTGAGACAGACATTGGCTTATCCATTATCTCTAGATCAGGGTTATCCATGATCTCTAGAAATAGGCTCCATCTCCCTCAGCATCACATGGAAAATTATTTTCACATGGGAAGCTCCTGGACATCAGAGCAGGGGGGAGGTATTTCCTAGTGAAGAGGGGGCCCAATGGCACACAGTGAGAGAGAAGACATCTCCTAAAGGGAAAAGCGTTTGAGTGAACCGCTCTGCCTCTCTTCCTTTCAGCCCTGGTGAAGGTGCCTAGCATGGGCTGCTCTGCCGTGGAGGATTCATTAACACCCCCTCATCCCGTGACGGTGACAAAACAGGTGAGCCGCCCTGTTGGATTCTTCGCTTGCACATCAGAAAGCTCCATGGGCCAAGCTCCTAAACTGGATTTGCAACACCATTTTCAGTAACTTGTAGCATTGCACACACACACACTCACTCTTTGGCTGGTGTGGAGCCTGTGCTCTCTTCTGATTCTTTCTTCTTTCTCACCAGGCAGATGGCTCTGTGACCATGGAGAATGGGGTTATCGCGGCTCACCTGGACTCCATGGGGCGCGTGATGTCGCTTCGCTTAGTGCACTCGGGGAGGTATGACGATTATTCATCGTGTTTATTGCAGCCATTCCTGAGGGCCAATCCAGACTGGGGCTCGTTGTGCCAGGCACTGGGCAAATACAGGAGCAAATTGACCCTGCTCCAAAGAGCTGACGGTCTACATTGGTTTTACTTAACGTTCGTAGAATATGGATCTGCTCTCACTGAAATCATTTCCAATGATTCCATCTTGCCTGGACAGACTGGGGTGTGAAACCCAGTGGGGACTAATTTGAGGCCTCCTCTCCTCCTCAGTTTCATCATAACTAAGCCCGCCTGTGGGGCTTGAACATCAGTCGGCCAAATGAAAGGCTGGTTCATTTCTCCCACCTAGTCTCCTCCCAGAGAAGCTAAAGTGGCAGGTGTCTGTTTCCAGGCTGTTGGAATGTTGTTTCAGGTCACAGAATTCTTATGTCATCCACTGCAGCTTCTTGTTCCCTTGCTGATCCTCTGCCTCCCTGCTTTGTTTCAGAGAGTCAGTCCAGGATGGTCACTGCGCTAACCAGTTTGTGATATTTGATGATGTTCCCTTGTACTGGGATGCTTGGGACGTGATGGATTATCACCTGGAAACCAGGTAAGTGAGCAGTGCATTGTGGGTACTGGTACTTTTTTAGGACTCTGCAAAGCTCTCTGCCTCTTGGGATTGTAGCAAAGAACCAACTTCCCAGAGAGAGGACAAAACTTCTGCAATGGAAAACTATGTGCTTGTTCTTTCCAGCTCTTCGTGTCCAGGGGAGTAGCGTAGAATAGTGTAAGATTACACAGCGCCTGGGAGGGGTTCTAAGAATTCCTCTGGTGAGAAAAATGCAGCCTCAGGTGGGGGGGGAGTATCCCTGCTCCCCTCTTGTCTTCCGAGTGTAGGAGCCTTACGTTAACCTTTTGAACACAGAGCTGTCACCCCCTGAATCTTAACCCTTATGCTTGACATCTGTTTTAGGAAGCCAATCACAACCCTTCTGAAGCCTCTGGAGATTGTCCTGGCTGGGGGCCTGCGAGGAAGTGTGAAATTCTCTCTGCAGATCAGTGAGCGGAGTGTCATCACCCAAGAAGTCATCCTGGATGCCATGTGTCCTTATCTTCGATTCCTGACCCAGGTTTGGAAAGGCTTGTGCAGGCCACGCCCGCCTTATATAGCCTGCTGTGGGGGGAGGAGAGAATCCCAGAAGGATGAGTGTGTTGTAGGAATGGAGCATAGAGGTGGCAAAGGTGGATGACTGGGGCGAGGTCCAAGGAAAGGTTGCATCCTAGGCAAGCCAAGACCAGAACTGGAGGAGAGTCAAGAAGCAGCCAAGATAGTGAACATTCGTTACCAAAGACAGGCGCGTCTCCTCACTGGAGGCAACACCCATCACCTCTGCTGCCTCTCCTGGATGCCCCTATTCCCATCTAGCCTTTACTGCATATACTGCCAAACTTACCGAGAGTCTGAGCTGCATACGACAATCTTCAGAAGTTTGAGAGCAGGGCATGCCTCCTGGGGCTTGGGGCTTCAGCTCCACTCCTGCTGAAGCCCTGCACCCTGGCAGGCATGCCCCAAGGGACTGGAACCCCAAGACCCCCCACCCTGCTGGGCAGAAACCGGAGGCAACATTGGGGGGGCACGTGGGGTTACATGCCCCTCCAAATATTTGCCAGGGTTTGCTAGCCCCACTCAGTCACATGGTGCTGCCAGGCCGCTTCCCTGCACAGCAGCTGCGGCCATGGGGAGAGACAGCGGCACACAGCTGGGAGCTGCAGAGACAGACAGTGTTTTGCTGCTGCCTCTCCCCATGGAGCTAAAGCAGCGGCCCCTTGCTGCAGCTCCCAACCATTTGCCGCTGTCTCTCCACAAGGAGCTAACACCTGGGAGCTGCAGGCAGGGGCCACTGAGGGTAAGGGGTATGTGTGCCTGGGAGGGCATCACTCAAGCTGTTGGAGGGGCGAATGTTTTAATTTTGTCCCCCACACTCAGCAAGTGCCAGTCGTCTCTGGGAGAAGCCCTGAGCCTCGCCCCACTTCTCCTCCCCAGTCTGGTAGGGGGAAAATGAGGAGGTCTCGAGGGGCTCAGTGAGCTGCATTTTAACTGTAAAAGAGCCGCATGTGGCATATAACGAAGCACTTCGGAAGAGCTTTGGGATTGTTTAAAGCCACTGGGATGGATTGATGTGATCATGTTTTCCCACGTTCAGAGACAATAGAATACAGTCCCAGGGCCAGTTTTAGCCCTTGCTCGATACTTTACCAGGGAACCAGGTCCCTGTTGGGTGGGGTTAACTAGACAATGGGAAGTTCCTGAGGAAGCTAGAACAGGGGAGCCACTGTGGTGAAGATGATGCCATCTTTCCCGTCTCCCCCACAATGACCTGAGCCTCCTTTTGGCCGCCCCGTTTGCTCTAGGTTGACTGGAATGAGGCTCACCGATTCCTGAAGGTGGAGTTCCCATTGCAGGTTCGGAGCATGAATGCAACGTATGAGATTCAGCTTGGGCACCTGCAGAGGCCGACGCACTGGAACACGTCTTGGGACTGGGCTCGGTTCGAGGTAGGAGGGCAGCAGGCTGGGCCCTGCCACTGCCCCAGCTCTCTAGGTAGAAATAGCCCTGATAGATAGACACCGTCCCTTCTTTCCCCACCCCGCGTGCCCTCTGAGAACAGCTCGCCTCGGACCACAGCTGCTCGCTGAACTGCTGCAGGGATAGGCTGTCTCCTGCGGGGAGGTGAACCCGGCAGGAGCAGAGTCCCCATATCCCAAGAGAGTAGAGCTTTAAGCAGGGACCTCAGTGAGAACAAAATCTTGGGTCGCTGAGTCAGTGTCGCTATTCAAATCCTTCCCAGCCAGGGCACAGATATGGCTTTGTACACTGACATAGCACAGTACCGGCCTCCCACTGCCCAATCACAAGCTCCCTCCGGGGGATCCAGATGGACACTCAACTGTCTCGGAATGGCCTGTGGTTTGCTGTTGTGCGGAGCCAGCCGGGGGCAGATGAAGTTGCATTTCAGTGTTAGTGGGTCATGCAGTTCCCCAGAGCTAGGGAATTTGCATCCTAGCCTCACTGCAGCTGCCGGTCAGTTTGATGAAGGAACCCGATCTGCCTTTCCTTCATGGGGACTAGCTTTCCAGTTACGCTCCTGATTGGTGATCTAGGCTGTTCACAGGGATTGGCCCTCTGCAGAGCCCAAGGGGCCATCGTCTGCCTCCCCCAGCCACCCTTTGTGTTCTTGGTCAGTAAGACAGATTGCGTGGCACCCACCTTGCTCCACAAATAACCATCCCGGGTGACAGCCCCCTAATGCCAGGCCAGTTGTTTCCCCAAGGTGTGGAGTCACAAGTGGATGGACCTGTCTGAGCACGGCTTCGGGGTGGCATTGCTGAACGACTGCAAATACGGCGCGTCGGTGCACAAGAACGTGATGAGCCTCTCGCTGTGAGTGGGTGGGGGGCGGGGCTGGGCAATGGATGCCTTGGGTTTACAATTCTGCTCGCTGGGGATGCTGCAGTCCCATGTGCACTATCGTTTAACTTTGCAAACGCTGTGGTCTGCACCCTGTATATAGCAGCGGGATTGGACTGGAAATGGAAACTCTAGTGCATATTGTGCTTTAGAATGTGTCCCATTTATAACGGGATCCGCTCTCTGCCCCGTCCCGTCAAGTACGGAGATGATAAGGTTTTGACCCTTTCCTGCAGTGGTCAGGAATTCATGCCACTAAGGATTGGCTGTCACTGATCTAGTTACTGAGCTTGCAGCACCTTGCTCTCTATGGTGGGATCAGTTTCTTGAATACTTTGATCCAAGTGTTGGGCCAGTGTTTGGTGACAAGTCAAGACAGACCCTAGGCCTCTGGCGTGTGAGTGCAGCGGGCGTTCGCAGTCTTGTGGCAGGAGCTCCTCCCCCAATGGGGCACGGCCATGGAGCCTGACTGTGGTGCAGTTTGCAGGGGTCCCTGCTGCGTGATGGAATGGCAGGGTGGTTTGACACCAGTAGTGCATGTGCACTAGTGTTTAAAGGAAGTGGGGCTGGTTCTAGGCACTGCCAGTGGAAGAGACTCCACCCCCTTAATTCATCCCTCTCCTCCAGGCTGAGAGCGCCAAAGTCACCAGATGCCACTGCAGATATTGGACCCCATGAGTTCACCTATGCCGTGATGCCTCACAGGGGTGAGTTTCGGGGGCTGAGCAGCACAGCACTGATATGCCCCCTAGGAGCCTGCCAATTCCTGAGGGGAGCATGTGGGCAAAGAAAATAGCTCTCTCCCGTGTGGGACCGCGGCACAGTGCCTGCTCCCGTCTCACGGGGGATGGCGCTGTTGCTGTTTCTAACTGTGCTGAGTGCTTAACTCCTGACAGCTGCTGTTGTATTCTCTGTGCAGGTTCCTTCCAGGAGGCGGGTGTGATCCATTATGCTTACAACTTGAACTTCCCTCTGCACACCGTGCCAGCTGTGTCAGCGCAGTGTCCAGCCTGGAGTGCCTTCTCTGTGCATTCACCAGCTGTTGTGCTAGAAACCGTCAAACAGGCACGTGCCCCAAAGAGAGACAAGGGGGGCAGCGGTGTGTTGAAAGGCGCCAGCTGCGGTATCTGCAGACACACAGCACTGGCAGCTCTTGTATTAGCATTGTGCATTGTTACAGCACTTTGGATTAACAGAAGCCAAGTGCCTTGCAGGAGAGTTAGCTACAGCTCTCAGTCCTAGTCCAGTGATTGGACCTTTCCATTCATCCTTCATCTGCCCACACCTCCCAGATCTTTGACATTCAGCTGAGCTGAGCAGGAATTTCCTACACTGACAGGGCAAGCAGTGTGGGCTAGTGGTTATAGCAGGAGTCTGGGAGTCAGGCAGCCTGGCTCACTGTTTGGACTTGGGAGAATCACACTAGCCAAAATCTTGCACCCATAGCAGTGGCAGCTTCTCTTCCATTTTTAGGCCCCCAGCTTACAGTGCCTTGGGCCTGATGCTCAGAGTTGCTGAGTGCCCACACATCCAGCGTACTTTGCTGGGTGGGGACAGGGCTGAGCTCCTCAGGAGATCAGGCCCAATGTGAACATTCACAGTGCAGGCACCTAAACTCAGTGGCCACTTCTGGAAATTCAGGCCTTGGTATCTCCGTTGCCCAGATGGGCTGAACAATTCCTGCCTGCGTCAGCACTCTGAGGGCTCTGGAAGAGAATTGCAAAGCATTACTCCTCATTACAGCCTCCTGCAGGGACTTACAGAACTCAGCGTCCGTCTGTTCTAAACGGGGCAACCCAGCCAGGTTCAGAGTTTGATCTCTTCCTGCTGGCTATCCTCTAGTCGAAATGGTGAACCAAAGCTGCTCTTGCACATTGATGATTGGGAGGAGGCACCGTGCCGTCTAGGCAGCATATGCTAGTGGCTAGAGCACTGGACTGGGACTCAGCTAACCTGGCTTCTAGACCCAGCTCTGGCACAGGCCTACTCAGTGTGTGTCCCTTCCCCTCTTGGTGCCTCAGTTTCCATGTCTCTAATATGGGGTAATGATACTGTCCCCCCTCCCCCTTTGTAAAGCATTTGGAGATCAGGTATCATCAGTCATCTGGCTGATCCTGAGAATAATGTTTCTCTCTGTCCATGAAGGCTGAGGACAGGCTGGACGGGCTGGTGGTCAGGCTGTATGAGTCACATGGCAGCACTGTGGTCACGTGGCTCCAGACCTCCCTTCCTGTGAAGGAAGCAATCAGGTAAGTAGGTGGGGGAAGGGAGAGGCCGCTGTGAGACCTTGTATTCTGGGGCTTCAGCTTCATTCTCTCTTTCTCTTCCTTCCCCAGCTGTGACCTCCTGGAACGGCCAGACCTGAGCAGCCATCTGCCGCTAGAGGAGCATGGCCTGAAGCTTTCCTTTACGCCATTCCAAGTGCGCTCTGTCCTCTTGATCTTGAGGCAGTAAGAGGGCTACTGCTACTGGCAGCCCAGCCCCTATCCCGGAACCAGACAGAAATCACCGTGCTCTGGGCGATTCACTAGCTTCTCAAATCATGGACACGTCGATTCCAGCACTGTGGCTACCCAGTGGGATAGTAAGGAGTTGCCCCTTCTCAGTGTGCGCCAAGGGTCGGTGTCAGGACAGAGATCAGAAGCATCTGGGCTCAAGTCAGCGCTGATTCTGAGTGTAAATGCCTGACGGTGGGCCATGGCCTTAGTAATGCCGGGGGGTGGGGATCACAGAGCTGGTGGTGTACTGGCTTAACCCACATGTGGACATCCTGAATAGAATCCTGTCCCTTTCAGGGGAGTGGTGCTGGGGTTTGAGCCTTGATAATGGCAGAATCGGTTCTTTTTATTGCGTGTCCTACAACTCTAACAGTCCTGTGCTTCCCTGTTTGCAGGCACTTTACTGTTTCTGCAGACACGCAGCGTCTTTTTGCCTGGTCTTTCTGTAAAAACTGAGCATTAAACACTGAATCACGTGCTGAGTAAAGTTCTGACTGTTTGACTCTTGCCTGTGGCATCAGAAATGGGGCCACTGCCCTTCACTGAGACCAGCGCCAGGCAGATAATAAAATCCCTAGTGTAGGAGCCACAAAGCTCCCTAGGCTCCTAAGTCCTGTTTTTAGGCTCAGCTGTGACCCTCAAAGCTCCTGTTCAGCTGCCATCTAACCCTGCAGGCACCTCAGGTTCTGCAGTAGGTGCTGGGTTTCTGCCTCTCTACATGCATGCCGTTGCCTCACTTGAGGTGTCTAGGCACCTGTCTCCCACCTACACCCCAGAGTGAGTGAGCCACAGCCTGGTGTTCCCCTGAGTCGTGGGTGGGGCCAGTGAGCATGCTCAGAGACTGCCTAGCTCCACAGGACAGCCAGGGTGGGGGGAGGCCTTCCCTTGTCAGCTGTAGCCCTGTGGTTAGAGTGCTGGGAGGAGACCACTGGTTCAAGTCTCCCCTCTGCCAGATAAGGAGAAGGGATTTGAGCAGGGATCTGCTACCTCTCAGGTCAGGGCCCTGAGAATGGGATATTCTCATGTAGTCTCTCTCAATCTCTCCTATTGACGTTGTTTCACTTTAATTAAATAATTGAATAATTAACAAGGGCAGAGAAAGTTAGAATGATTCTGCTTGGGGCACTCACCTGAGAGGTGGCAGAGGCCTGTTCAAATCCCTACTCATCTGGCAGAGGAGGGACTTGAACCCCCTTTGTCCCTGCTCTTTTGTGGAGTTAGGCAGCTTCTGAGTACACTCACTGGATTGGGCCCTGCTTGTGACTTAGGTAGCCAAACCCCTGTCTGCTCCTGGCTTGTGGATTGCTACCAACAATAGGTGCTTTCTACCAGCCCAGACTTGGGGGCTGAACTCAGAGAGGGGCCTGGTGGAACTTAGCACATCCCTCTTGCTGGCCTCTTCCATTGACTCCCCACCTACCTTGCTGGCTTTGTGAATTGTTGTCAAAGGCGCCTGTCTCACCCCATTCACTGTGAAGGCCCCTACCGCAGGGTTGTTCCTGTGATTTTCTAGGTGTCTAAACGTTAAACATTGTGATGCCTCAGACCCTTTTGTGGATTCAGGCCCTAGCGCTTTCAGTATCATCATCCCCACTTGACAGCTGGGAAACTGAGGCACAGAGCGGTGATGTGGCTTGCCCAAGTAGTCTACTAGCTTGGCCCTTGGGTGAGCACTAAGGGGTAACCCATCAGCTAGAAAAAAGTTATTTCTACCACATTAGGCACCTATCTAGTGTTCATCACCAGGGTGATGGAACTACATACTCAAAATAACACTGGTTTAGAATGATTGGGAAATATTTAGCCCCCAATGATATATTTTATACATATGCCTGTGTTGTTTTGCCTTTGGTTAAAACAAAAGTCTGTAGTCACACAACATTATGAGTTTGTTTGTACCATGTATTACATCAAAATATGCATCATTATTTGTAGAATGTACTCATCTCAGAAAAGGTTTTTTGTCTGCTATTTTTCTGAAGTTATGCAGATAAGACCCCCCTACTCCTTAATTATAAAACATATTTTGAGGTTATCTGCTGTGCTGGAGACATACGTGGGGAAGGACCATGGAATGGAATCTGTAAGGCTAGGGCAGAGACTGTAGCCTTCAAATGTAGAATATTGCAAACTATAACCATGGCTGTTATAGTTAAGACAACATGCCACAAAATTGGCAGGGCAAATAACAAAAACAAAGAAAGAGTTAAAAGAAAGCAGGAGAAGCCACAGAGCTCTGGAATGCTCCCGTTCTCCTAACAGGGTGGCAAGCAGTCCAGAGAAAGCAAGCTTGGGAACAGAATAAAACTTTGTGGAAACAGCTGTAAAAAACCTACCAAAAAAAAAGAGAGAGAGATGTGCTGTCCTGTTATAAATATTTGTGGTCATCAGCAAGCGTGAGCTACCCTGTGCCTGAAGAATGGGAACAGAAATAGAAAAAGGTGGCCCTAGCAAAATTAAGAGATGCATTAACAGATGGCGTTGCCCAAAAACAGTTAACTAGAGCATGTAAGAGCACTCCCGCACTCCATTTGACATGTGGACAAAAGCAACAAACACTGGGGGAAACAAATAGAGGTTTTGCAAGAACAGGTAACAATCCTCACTTCCCTTTCAAAGCCAGCATGAAAAACAGGGGTGCGGGTTCCCAAGTGCTTTAACCCCTGGAGCTACACTCCTTGCTCATGGCTAAACATACAGTTAAGTTTTCCTTTATCTCATTTCTCAGTTTGCTAAACTTGCTGCTGCTGCCTGTACTTAAGATAACTTTATAGAGTTAATGTTCAGGTCTCACTACCTTCCTAGGTAATGTTCAGGTCTCACTACCTTCCTAGGTTGCTCTTCATCCCCTCCCCCCCCCCCCTTAAAAGTTATAGTTTTTACAGAAACCTCCGAAAGCTTCAAAATAGAACAAAACAACAATCAAACAAATTAAAAAACAAGGTAAACATTTTACTTTAAAAAACTCCAGTAAATAAATAAATTTAACTCTTCAGGAATGCAATTGATGGAATTACTCCTAATTTGCTTGAAGATAAGGTTGCCAAGCAACAGAAATGCACACTCTGCTTCTAATCCTAACCACTAACTAATATTTGAAACATGGGCTTTCCTTATTATCACAGAGTTTTAAAATAAAATTAATATAAAATAATGGAAAATGCCTTGTTACTAACTTAATACAATAATTTTTGCAAATATTACTATGAATTCATTTTATTAAAAATGAAGGTAATAACTTGCTTATTTAAATGGTTAACCATTTTGTTTATTTTTTAAAATATTTTTTATTTTTGTCTTATTTCATATAGGTATAAATAAGAAGTCTTGCGCCACTTGTTTTTAATTGTAAGTTTGTCATGTATGCTGTCCTGTTTGTATGTTGTGTGTGTAACATCACTTTTTTTTTTAATTATTTCTATTTTGTTGCAACAAAAGTCAATTTTATACCTTTTTTAAAAAATATAAGTGGTACCACACTATTTTACTATTATGTTTGGGGTATAAGCATCATAGTATTATTACCACCATTTTTTTAAAGTTCAAAAAGGTCTCAGTTATAAATATATGCATTATTTGTTGAGGCAGAAATAGATGTACAATTAAAAACCAAAAGAATTCTTTTATTCAGCAGGTTTTTTTTTTATTATTTTTATTTTTTATT